ATCATTGCACTTACCTGTGCATTTTCAAACAGACATGTATGGTGATGCACACCGACCATGGAACATATTTTGGATGATGATCTGAAAAAAGTCTGGATCAATGGCGACATCAGATATATCTGCTGATATGAGCTGACCAATTTGTTATGGTGTGATTTTTTCAATAAGCCAATAAGCCAAATCATACGGCAATTCTCTTTTTCTGCCATTCAATAGAATGCATCAAACACTGTGTCTCTCCAAAAACATGACGCTTCGCAATCAAACCAAGTATAGAGCTTAATATTTGTTTTAACTCACGTGCAGTAATGCATCATGAAGACCCGACGATGTTTGAGTAGGTTACAAAAGCTCTTTAACTTTAGCTCAAGCAGGATTGCATGTGAATGTAATAAGTAACTCTGACCACCCATATGTGCACCGATACTTGTAGCACCGAATGAAGTCATTTGGAAACACGAATGCACCGACATATCAAGAAAAATTTCTATTGATTTGCTTGACCCGATAACAACGTTGATAATGGCTCAGCTGGCGACGTTAAATCTGGTAGTTTCACTTTGCCTCCAGAACAGCAAATTCCATCTGTTTCATTCCTAAATTTGAGAGCACTACAAAACATACATAATTAATCCATTTTTCCGATGATGACGCTTGGGTGAAGACTATAGTTGGCTGTCGGATCATAGTGAAATGCACTGAGATTCAAATCAGAGTATTGGCAGCGTCTGAATAGCGAAGTGCGCTCTTGATTGATTTTCATTTTTGCATCCCGTTGCTCTGATGTTTCCGACGAACGGGCTTGAGTAGTGCGTAGTTGATTTGTTAACAGCCTTCTTTCCCATTGCTCTGATGTTTCTTAGGAACGGGCGAAAGCATTGTGTTCTCGATTACTTTCAAGTCTATTTTCCCGTTGCTCCGATGTTTCTGAAACACGGGTAGTTCTCTTCTTGTGTGCTTGAAATTTTGATCGACTAAGAGCGATTCGTTTAGGCGGCATATTTCTGCAAATATTCTCTCTCAAACAAAAAGAAATGTAAAAGTTGACAGTGGTCGTGAATTTGCTAAATCTCATATTTATTTTAAGTAATAAAAAAAAACAATAAAAATGAAATAAATTAAATAAAAAATATAATAATGATAAAATTTAAAACAAAAATCTATTTTTTAAATGAAATAAATAAAATTAATGTGAATTCGAAAACTTTGTAATAATAAACAATCTAATAGATTTCAAATGTCAACTGCCAGCAATGAAACCTTCAAAAACTATATTTAATTGTGCTAACCTAAAATTGCATACTAAATATAAATAATTATTGAAAATGTGCAATTGGAATGAAATTTGCCTTTGCCTTTATTTTTATTAAACAGCACTAATTCCGTGATACGACCAATAGACCAATAATTACGAAATCTATTCTTGTTGATTTTATGTGCTTGTGCTCATCTGACATAAAGAAACTTGCGTGAATTATAATTAAATATTAAAGTATATGTAATTTACTTTTCTAAATGAATAGAGCTATAAGATAGAAAATATCACTGTTGTTATCTTCAAGATATTTGAAAACAGAACCGTTTAGAGCAAAATTTAAAACAATGGCTAACTTTTAACCAATCAGAATATTCCATTTCTATTTTCGCTGATACCGCTGGAACGGTTTGTCGCAAAATGTTCTAATGTCGACAGTGACCTTCCTTGTGCTTTCAACTATCTGTATGCCAAGTTTTATAGCTTTATGTCTTATGGTTTGGGAGTCTATAAGGGACTAACAGACAGACACACATTCATTTTTATATATATAGATTAAGCGCAACATTGTTAAATG